CAAGTTTACTTATTATTGTTGTTGATGTGAATTTGTTTTACTTGATACCTGAGCCTAGAGTTCCAATGTACTGATTTCATTTTCTATTTGTTCCTTTGGCAGTGTCATTGAAGCCGGAACTTTTTGAAGGAATGCGCTTTGATTTTTCGAAAGTACTAAACCAGAGATTTTCTCTCAGCCACAGGTACCTTTATTATTCTCCGCTGGAACATGTTGAACTTAAGGTTAACTATATCATCTCAAATGGAAAGAAAACTGCTACAACATATTTGATTTAGAATTTTTCCTTTCTTCTTTTTTTGGCAGTGTGTTTATGGGACCCACAGAAGTTCCTTCTCAGTCCACTGAAACAATTAAAATACCAACTGCTAATTATGAATTTGGTGCAAACTTTATAGACCCACAGGTATATAGGTGGAATAGTTTTATCATGCATGCCTAGAGTTCTTTTAATGGAAACTAATTGTAGGCATAATGCTTGCTTGTTACAGTTGATGCTTTTTGGGCGGCTGATGACAGATGGGAGGCTAAATGCTAGACTGAAGTGTGATTTGTCCGAAAATCTCTCTCTGAAAGGAAATGCTCAAGTAAATACGATAGTATATAATAATCTCTATAGTTAGGATCTAATCCGTTTTTTATTTATATATGCTCAATTGCTGATACTCCAGTTATATTTCATACTAATATCACATATTCCTATTCTCCTTGTCAGCTTGCATCTGAGCAACACATGTCACATGGCATGGTCAATTTTGATTATAAGGTGATTCCTTTTCCATTCTGCCTCTTTTATACATGTTTTTTTTTTTTAATTTTTAATAAGCTTCTGCTTTCGTGATACTGTCAGGTATGTGTCTCTTTTCTTTGTTATACATATTCTGAAAAAACACTGGGCAAAATATAAGTGATACTCTTTTCTGTTTTAACAAAATAATAATAGAAGTAATAATGTGTTCTGAGTTTGTCATTCTTGTATTTAAAGGGAAAAGACTACAGGGCTCAATTTCAACTTGGTAGTGGGGCATTGCTTGGAGCCAGTTACATCCAGGTATTAGTAAGCATATAATGTGTATGGAAGTGTAAAATAAACTAATTTCGTCGTCAGCCTTGAACTTCTAATGGTGCTAGATTTATGCATTTATTCTGAACATCATTAGAAATGCTTAAACTGGTTGTCACATAATGTAAATAAATTTATTATATGGAAATTGGACAGTCTGCTGATTTATGTATTGTTGCTATCTCTGTCCCAAAAATGGAGTCCTATTTGACCAATGCTCAGCTTTTCTGTTTTGGTAAGGTGCAGTTGTCATAAATCATGACTTATATGTTATACATAAATACTAAGTTTTTAAATCTTTTTTGTTGATAATAATTTTATTGCATGTAGTTTGCTTGTGACGTGTTTAGCATGCATTGGCAAATTACGTGAAATTTCAGCTTTGTTTGATCAATGTGGGGTCCCCTTTTAGGTCAAAAGAAGTGTTTGAAACATTAATGATGGATGCATTAGTTTGGTTTAACTTTCTGTATTCTTTGGTAGAGTGTGACTCCAAATTTATCACTTGGCGGTGAAGTATTTTGGGCAGGCCAGCATCGCAAATCTGGCATTGGCTATGTTGCTCGGTACAACACAGACAAGATGGTATTGTCATTTATATTTGAAGTGTTCTGTTCAATTATTGTAACTGCATGCCGTGATTCTGTGGTTCAGCCACTAATGTCAGGTTGTTTGATGCAGCAGTAAACTTTAGTACTGAAGCATTTCATTTTCTGTACCAAATTGCTATTAGTTCTTTCATCTGATGTTGTGCCTAACATCATTAGCCATTCTGCCTACAGGTCGCTGCAGGTCAAGTTGCTAGCACAGGAACTGTTTCACTCAGTTATGTTCAGAAAGTCTCCGAGAAGGCAAAAAACATTTTTACTTCTTTTAAAGATGGTCTGTTCCTCTCTTCTTGCACTTTCTTAGAAATGTTTCTTCCTTTCAGGTTTCTTTAGCATCTGATTTCATGTACAACTACCTGTCAAGAGATGTTACAGCCAGTGTTGGTTATGATTACATTTTAAGACAGGTAATTCTGATATCACAACTTTACAGAACAATTTACAGGAAGCAAAGTTTGAAATCTGAGCCTTGCAATTTTTTATTTGCAAAGTATCATGTTATGGATGTAAGGAAGACAAAAGGTCTATAAGCATGATAATATCCTTATATTTGAATGAGCTCCTTTAGTTGAAGGTGCACAGAATGGAACCGAATACAGTAAAGAAGGATCAAAGCTATTTTACAATTTTTTTTAATCCATGTCTTTTCTACTTTTGCTTTTTTGTGGTAGTGGTTATGAACTACTTGCCACTTTTGGGCGTTTACTGAATTTCCGGTATAAGAATTGTGCTATGTTTTTCTTTGAACTCGAGAAATAATTTTAATCCCGTCAACCTACTCAAATATTTAATAGGATTTCTTTCTTTTGTTTTTATGACAGTGTCGACTTAGAGGAAAGATCGATTCCAATGGCTGTATCAGTTCTTTCTTAGAAGAGCGCTTGAACATGGGCCTAAATTTTATTCTCTCTGCAGAGGTATTCGGCTTTTGTATTGTTGTGGTCGTCACCAGTAACAATCACGATTAATGAGGTAAGGGTCAGATTGGTACTCGAAGTTGCTCTGTCCGGCAGTCGCCATTTAGGGCGGCATTCAAATGAATTCTTGAAGATAGCTCTGCAGTTAAAAGCGCAATTATCTTCAAGAATTCATTTGAATGCCTCCCCGTTTGAAGTTTTAGCTGAAATTAGGTACGAGTAAACTAGACTTAATGAATAAGATGCTCAAAAAAATTCATTAAAAAATTCCATCGGGAACTGCCTCAAATGGCGACGGCTGGATAGTAAGAACTTATTTGACCCTGTTTATGCAACTTCGAGTACCAATCTGACACTTACCTCCACGATTAATAGTGGGAAAATAATGCTCCCAGTTTAATGTTTTCAGAGACTATTCATACCGTCAATTTGACTCAAAGAATGATTATATTTTTTTTAATTTCCATGAGAACATTCACTTGTTATAAATCTTGAAGAATGGCTAGAATTTCCAAATAATGTTCCCATTTCTTGTGATTATGTTGTGCAGGTTGATCACCAAAAGAAAGACTATAAATTCGGATTCGGGATAACAGTTGGAGAGTAGGCAACCATTTGTCTTTGCTTGTTAATTATTTTCATATTTAGGCAGCAGTTTTGTACTTTCTAAAAAAAGGTTACTTTTAATGATTTTTCAGTTTGGTGTAATTGATTTCTTAGATGCCAATTTGTAGGGTGTAGGGATCATTTTTCAAATCCAAGATTTGTTGCCAGAAACGACTTTGGTGCATCTATTTTTTTAAGGATTTTGTAGCGTTCTTTATCACCAGGACGTCAATAAAAAAGGCAATGACATACTCATACTTTGGGCGAAGTCTACTCAGTAGTACTCCGTATTTGTTTGGCAAGGGAAAATCGTTGAATGCAATTGCGATGTTGAGCTTGTGAAAGCTCCATGGACCATGACTAACGGAATAAATTTTTAAGCCTTGAAGAATGAATTCTCATTTGGTGAAATAAATGAGAATCCACTCATACCAAATCAAATTAAATCAAATTAAAAATGAATGGTAGTAATTTGATTTGAGTTTGATAGTGTTTTTTTTAAATCATATTCAATTGAATTGAATTTGTGAAAGTATGAATTAAATAGAACCAAATTAACAACAGAATCAATAAAATTATAACAATTCCTTAAAAATTACAAATTAAATTAAACTAAATTAGTATAATTTTTACTACGTATTTAAGTCTTTTTCTTAATCTGTATCAAACTTTCAAATTGAATTGATTCAAAGACTGATAACAAAAAAAATAGAAATTGATATTCTAGTGATGGGTACGGTCCATTTCATTCTGTTGAAATCAGTGAAAGTTTGATTTAAATGACTGAATTTATTGAATTATGAAAAAATTATAGTTCAAATTATTCTATTAATATTAAAAAGAGAAGACCATATGAAGAATAATAAAAATAGTCCTTTTTAATAATTTCAGCCAATTCACGCGAAATAAAAATTACTTGTTTGGTAAAAAAATTGGTTGATAAACCAAAAAAGGTGCCAAACGGACTCGTGTTTGCAAAAGAAGTCAGACAACTCGATTAGGTTAAACAATAAGTTAAAATTAAATAGAAATGAAAAATGTATCTTTACAAAAAATAATAATAATAATAATAATAATAATATTGAAACTTATTTTTAAAAAAATACTGATTTATTGGGTTATAGGCACATCAGATTATCAGACGATGAAAGCTGTACAATAATTTTCAGTGAGGTCAAATTATTACTACAAATGCACTGTTAGAAAAAAAAGGATTTTTAGTGAGGTCAAATTATTACAAGTAGACCACTTGACAGATATTTAGCGGAATGAGCACAATTTAGTGAAAAATCATCTGGTTCAATACTAACATTTATACGGTCCTTGTTCTTGTAGGGGTAAATCACGTAGGGGTGATAATCGAGTACTTGGATTGCTCAAGGATCGTGTAAGTTCACTTTCCGAATTGATATTTCTCCCCTATGCCTGGGTTACAAGAAATTCAATCTAGGATAATCCTTAAGGACACTCTAGAACTTAGGCACAAGAACTAGAGCCAAACTAGTGAGTAAATAGATTGTTATCTTTAATTTGAGTGCCAAAGTGATGAAGATATGTTGGATATTATTCCTCTTGCTCCTCTGTACGAAATATGGTGGTATATATCCATATTCATCGTCCTAGGCAGTTGTAACACGATTAAGAATAACCGCAGCAGTTTTTGGGAAACTGCTGGAAACTGCCTGACCGTTCTAGAACTCGGTCTAGAACCACAGAGCTGGTCTGCTGAAAGTTATACTTCGAGTTCTACCTCGAGTTCCACTAACGTAGACACTTTGGAACTAAACTAGTTCTTATATACAAGTGTGCACTCCACACCTACTAACTTGTATTAGATCATAGTTCTAATTCCCATTGACACTCATGTCATTTCCAATTACACAAAATGGCCGGTGACACTAAAATCACCAACAATTCTTGCCAAGACTACTCAATTTCTTTTCCCTCCTGCAAACAGGAACGCAAGAACAGTTCCCAGTTCCCAGGGACCCGAAACCGAGCACATGTCAATCCCATTCTTGTTCAAAAATATTCCGTATTAGGGATGAACTCAGAACCGATCGTACATCTATCTAGATTGAGTAGTCTTTCCTTAAGGACTACTCACTTCAAGATGTTGAATAAACAATATCAACAGCGGTTGTTGAACTTCAGATGTTATTTAAGTTGAACTTTTCTGTCTAAATAGGTAGACTAAATTGAAATGTATATGAATTAAATGAACAAGTCGGTATTTGTCTGAAAAAATAAGTCGCATTTACAACTAAGACATTTATAAACACAACAATCAAGTGACTTTCTCAATAGCGGTTGGTTTATTTTTTACATAGGTTCTATCCAAATTAAAATGTGTATCTGTATTAAACCACTGGCCTTTGTGTAAGAGAGTGTTTATTTTAGTATACTAAATAAACACTATTCCTTGGCAAAAGAACCAATTGAGATACCGTCAATTAAGTCAATCCCCTGGCAAGGCCATTAAGTTACAAGTAAACAACTCCAAATCTATTAAATCAAAAGCAAACAATCCCAGTGAATATTATAAGATCATTGTAGTTTAAGCAAAATCTCAGTAATAACTAAAACGAGATAAGCAAACAATCCCAGTGAATATTATAAGATCATTGTAGTTTAAGCAAAATCTCAGTAATAACTAAAACGTGATAATAATATTGATTAATACCATGCAACAGCAATGAAAAAAGATCATACCATACTTGAGCTGTGCGTACACTTTTTCCAGACCTATTACGATTTGCTAGCTTTTTGTTTTGCCTTCTCTATAAGAGGTCTCAACTGCTTCTTTTCGGCAAGAACCTTCAGGAAGTTGAACAAGAAGGGAATATAGTTGTGCTTTCTGCGGATGTTTTCGGTTTTCCATTTCTTGAACTTCTCTTCTTCCACCAGTATCTTCTCAGTAGCCACTTCAATGCCAGAGTTCACTTCCGTTAGTGTTTTATTCAGTCCCTCCACGTTACTTCCATCCACCATAACCCTCTCTGATTGTAAAGCAGCCAATTGCTGAAGAATCCTTTCTCTTTTCCTCTGAAGCTCCTTCAACTCAGCAGTGTACATTTCTTTCCTGTTCTTGATTATGGCCATCAGGTTGAACCTTATTTCGTTCCTTGAATACCTCTCAATCCTTTCCTGAATCACTGGCTGAACCAATCGCAACCACTCAGAATCCTCATTCGGCCCACTGGGGCATTGTCCAAGGCTGATGGGCCCTTCTTTCAGCCCATCAAGCTCATACAGTATGCCGTCGACTGGAATGTAACTTATGAAATGATAGACATCGTCGTCTTTCCCTGCAGTTTTCTGCTCCTCAGGAACGAACGGCTCTGGTCTTGCGAAGCTGTTATGGGCAGCCCGGATCGAATCACTGTTGTTGATGGCTAAACCCTTGAGCTCGGGTGGAAAATTCTTTGTGAATTCTTTTAGCTGAGAAAGTTCTGGGCCTATGTCAATGTCTGGGCTGTTCAGAAGGATTGATAGGATTGCTTGGGTGGCACATGCATTATTGATAACCTGATTTCGTATTATTTAAAAAAATTGTTATTTAATTAATGATAGTGCTTCAATATCCATCTAGTATAAGGCAATTTTGTAACCATCCCACATATTTATCACATCATTTGACTTTACACTCCATGTTTTATTAGTTGAAAACACGCAATTTTGGCTCCTTTTAATTATACAAATGTCATCCTTAAAATGTGTATTGTTGTAAATGTAGTCCCTTCAGGTAATAGTTTAACAAATTATATTTCTAGTTTTGTACATTATTAAAGACAGATTACAATTACAATATATGGCACAATTAAGGGACAACTTTTGCAGAATTTAAAAACAGACTCATTGCATAAAGCAGAATAAATGAGACCAAAAGTGCAATTTCCACTTTACTTATTTTTACCTTTCACCCTATGTTTTATTGTACTTTTAACTTTTGCCCCCTAGAAGACCCCAGGGTGAGGGTGCAAATACTGTATAATAAAGGTATGAATGTAAGTGAAGTATGAATGTACTAGAGCCTGACCTGGCTAGCGAAAAATAAGTTGGGGTTGGGGTCCTTGATCACTAGACGGTCATCTTTTTCGCCAGGGCGCCACTTGAAAAGAAAAACTAATCCATAGATTGGCCTGTTTAACCGAGATATATGATTGTAATTAAAAAAAAATTGTCAGATCAAGTTAGCAAGTAGCGGCATGGCCCGAGCATTAAATGAATATTTATTGCCAATATCTCAGAAACAGGCACAACTTTGCCATATCAATGAAATCACCTAAGGTCATTGAGAGCATCAAGGTCCAATGTATACAATTCTTCAACCTGTTAGAAGAACAAAAATGTGTAAGGATACATATTGCTCGTTGAATGCAATTTGACAACAATCAAGGATTCCAAAGACCCAGGTATGAAGTATATAAATACGAACAAGATTAAAGGGATTCATCCATGTCATGAACTCAAGGGATCTAATATTGTAAACAGTCACGGTCAATTTCAAGGAATCTAATATTGCATGACTATTGAAGGTAAAATCTTGGTAAAAATGAGAAAACAAGAGTGCCTTCAAGAAACAGATAAACTTGAAATCCGAATCAAGCTACTCCAAGAGGAAAACAAAATATCATTATGATTTATGAGAAGCAGCAAAAAGGTTCCTTTTTAGGGTACCTGCACTCCTTTTACTTGCATCTGCTGAATGAGCTCAGTGAAAACCCCTGAAATGCAAGAAAAATATAGAAACAGACATCTCAATATTTAGAGATACAAAATTTTAAAAAGAGTGTTGAGTAAGTGGTATTGCGAATTCTCCGCAAGAAATATTGGTGCCAAACCACATAGAGTACATTTTAATCACAACAGCTTAACATTAAAATGAAAGCATGGCACATCGTTCACACCATTCAGTAATCAGTACAGATATCATTTAAAAGGAAAATAACATTATATTAAACATAATGGTAATCGTAAAGCATCAACATTCACACAAAACTACTGCACCTGAACAACAAACCCCTAAAGAATCAAATTGAAAAAAGTGCAAACGTACCGGGATCAGATTCAATGGTACACCAAGACATGATGGTTAAACTTTACTGCAGTGAAGAATCTTCTGTCTATATAAAGAAATGATGTTTGCTCTGCCAAATTTCTCACCAAAACTAACTGAAGAAAAATATCAAAGACAAAAGTAGGTTATCTGGTTAATAAAAAGTTAACAAATATAAAGTAGACTCTCTAGGGGCAAGGTCTTGTGGTGTATTGCCTTCATGCTCTTGGCTATTTTTTACTTAAAGTATCAAATTATTTTCATAATTACTTTACTTTTTGTCTTGTTTTCAACAGAATGTAGAAGGGAGAGGAGTTATGCAGAGTAATACAAAAGGGCTACTTTGTGGTTCTAAATAACATAATTCATGTTTATTAAAATTTATCCGACACAAAGATTGAGAGATGAAATCAGCTAGCGCTCGAACACTTTTGACTGAACTAAAGATATTCACCTTGGTCACATAGCAATCCAACTTCTCTGTGTAAAGGCTTTACTTTATGCCCGAGCAATAAGGATCTGAAAAAAATGTAGATTCCCTCAATCCCTAATGTAAATAGATAATATCAAATATCTTAGAGCCAGGCGTGATAGACTGAATATCTCCTGACTTTTTGAGTAAAAGTTTTTGGTAAACTCCAATTCTACCAAATATTAAGCTAAGATTTTTTCGTTCAACCTGAGTCTTAATGTAAATTGTAATACATGTTCTAAATATTTTAAAAGCTGAAAGAGGCAGATTTAGACAAAAAAAACATACAGTGGAACCCGTATGTTGTGAAGAAATCAGTATGTTTAGAATTGCAAAATTGTCACAAAGCAAATAGTGTAATAATCAAAAACTGATAATTAGAACCTTAGAGTGGTTCATACACATCTTCGACAATAGGGCTAATAGGAGATATGCAGAGTTCAATTTTGACCCATCTAAATTATAGATACGATGACTAGCTGGGTTTCATATTCGGATAGCTGAACAGTACAGAAATTTGGAGCGGAGGTGGAAGTTCAAGCAGCGAAAGCATAAGATGAAGCGTAGAAGAGCGATATACCTGGATAGGATATGAAAGCACGGTGAACTGTCCAATCGGAAAGAGGCCATAGCCGAAAGGGAAGCTTGTGATATCATGCACGATTGTACATACAATTAGATATTGGGCTTCAGCCCAAATGTAAAATATAATGGTCCCGACACAGTATTTTTAAGGAAATTTAGGACGGTGGCGTAGCTCACTTGGTAGGAAGGGAGTGCCACAAGTGAGGGTCCCAAGTTCAACTCTAAACAATGACTTGGGATGAAGCATCGTTCTCTTTCCATTAAAGTGTGATCAAAGTTCAATTTACATCCTCCCAGCTATCTGTCCGGTCGGTGCTGGGGCCCTCACGGATGGAGTGTCATCCTATTTTAAAAGGAAATTTAGGATGTTTTCTTTTCTACTATTTTTAGTTTCAGATCATATCCGATCAGACCGCATTAGACTTTAACAAATCAGATCAAATCAGATCATACATAGACAGATCAGAACAGACTTGGATATTTATAAAATACACATAAATTAGACATTTACCAGATCAGACCAAACTTAAACGGATCAAACCAAATCATAACAAACCAGATCAACAAATTTCAGTCCAAAAGAAAACATCTTTAGTATTTGTCCAATTATTATTTTTGTTATACACACACATATTTGGAGCGATTTGTTTTTAAGATTTTTAGATTTCCTTCGTTCCATTTAGAAAGTCATTTTATGAAAGTTTAATGAGAAAATATAAGGAGCTCGCCAACTTACTCACTACGGAGGCACGTTGACTCAGAGGGTCAGAGAGTGTTTGAATATGCTTCTTAAAATTGCTTCTGTTCTTTCATAGAGTAGAAACATATATTTATCTAGCGTGCTTCTTGATATAGATCTTAGTGGACAATATGCACCTTTTCCCATTAGAGTTTTTTTTACCCCAAATAGGACTAAATTATGATCAAAATTCCTAAATAGGAGTTAATATTTTATTTTTCCTAAATAGGGCTCCTTATTACCCATTTACCCCTACTTTAATAAAAAACCCACACCGGGCATCGATTCGGCATCTCCTTTTCCACATCCATCGCAGGCAAGCTCCTCTCCTAGGTAAACCAATGACGGAGATCCTCTTTCGCGCAACCTATTTCGGCCAGCCAACGTGCCTACAGGTAATCACTTCCTCCTTCTCCTCCTCTTCCTTCTCTTTCTCTTCTCCTTCCCTTTCTTTTTCCTCTTCTCCTTCCCCCTCCTCTTCTATTTTCAGCTCCTCTTGGGAATGAAAATTTGAGGCTGGTGTTAAGAAATTTCCATATAAAGTTTATCATTGTGTATTTTTATCAACTTGTAAATAAAATGCCACATTTATTATGGTATTTTTTTAATGTAGATGGACATATTACATCTTTGAGAATGCCAAAATTTTGACATTTTCACAAATTGTGGCATTTTTATGGCATTGAATTGAATTTTTCGGCAACATTACTTCTTCATTTTTCTTCTCCTATTTCATATTTTCGATCTCAAATGTGAAAATGCTATAATTTTATTCTGAAAAATTTCATGTTTTTGCATACAGAAATGCCAATTTTCTGTCATTATTGTTAACATAATTGCAATTTTCCAGAAATTGGTACAATACACTCCACCGGAGGTGTGCAGCGGCAATCTTGGCGGCAACAGTGGTGTTGGTCTAACTTGGTTGCGGTGGCCTTAACAGCAACGGGCGTGCACTGAAGGTGGTGAAGATGTGCGGTTTGGAGTTCACGCTGTTGGGTGTGTTTCGGAAATTAAAGAAAAAATTAATTAAAATAAATAAATTAAATAAAATGACTTAAACAAAACAAGAAAGGAGATGGAGCAGTAACTAGTCAAAGCTCGTGCAACGCACGATTTCCTTAAGATGTATTTGTTGTCTCCCGGGGTGCTAGGAGCGTTGCAAGAATCGTTTCCCAGGATACGATGACTATCGAGCTATTCGTTGAGCACTCAACAGAATAATTCCAACGAACGAGAACAAAGCAAGAACACTTAGGACTACTTCGGAAAGTGGAGGTGTTTTTTTTTAAATAACTGGAGGTGTTTTTCAGGGCTCAAAATGCGTGAGTACGTTTGTGAGTTGTGTCCTGTTGTAAATCACATGCCAGCTACTTTATAGGAAGGATTAGGAGCTGTGTTAATGAAGGTTTACTGGACATGAACGTTGGCAATCAATGTCCAGCACGTTGGCATTGATTCTCGTCCAGAAAACCGTCTGTTTAATTGCAACAAGTCACAAGAACGTTGGACATTTACTGTGTTGTACGGTACTGCGGAGCCTACTACGGACGTAACAGTAGCCTGCTCCTACCTGGAGCAAAAAAGTAGCAAAATTTAACGGAGGAACAAAAATTAACGTTTATCTTTAGAAGATAGAATTTTCGGACGACTTTCGAGTCCGCAGGTCGCCCGCGCATGCAAGTCGTGCTTTTTGTTCTCCGGTTTTGGGATTTGATTCGCACCCCCTGCGCATGTGAGAGAGCCTTTCCCTTTAAGAATCTTATTAACTCCTTAGAGGGGGTTTCCCTTTATAAAAGGTTCAAATTCTCTTGGGTTTTCCGGTGTGGGAAAAACCACACTAGAAACCCATCATTTTCCTAGTTTTTCTCCATTCCAACGAGTGAACTTCGAGAATCAATTTCTCATTCACCCGTTATCCGTTTTGAGCGTACCATATATCGAATTGTAGCCCTAAGTAGGGACATTCCGAAACCACTTTGACCCGATCCAAATCGGAAGTGGACCCCACTCAAATAATTGCCCCAAAATGACCATTCAATGCAATTTATTAACACATTTTCCAACACACGCTACCTGCATCGTTGAATGAGGCCCGCTGCTGGGGGAAGGGGTTTTTTTTTTTTAATTTGACATGTGTTTCATTAAGGACAATTTTGTCTAATCAGTTCATTTTTTATCCTATAAAATATGAGAGTCCTATTTGTGCACTTCAACATTGATTTAGTTCTATTTAGGGAACTACGTCTTCCCATTATTGTATGAGATACATTTATTTTTTATTTGTAATTCCACATTTTTTAATTAAAAGAAAATACATTTTCACAAACACGGAAAAACGGTATTTGTACCAATCAAACTGTGATTTTAAATATTGAAATATAAAAATATACGGAGTAATTTGAACTAGACATTTTAATTTGGTACATATATGATATATCATTTGATTTTGGATAAAAAATGGAACCAATTAACCAAAGTTACTCTTATCTATTACGATGCAGGTAAATAATGTAGCCAGTGTGTAATGTTATGTGAATAGAGCTAGTTAACTAGGATTGAGTTTAAGGTATTTGAATGTTTTCTTGAATTGTTTTTAGTATCAAATCAGATCAAATCAAACCAGATTCAAACACAACAAATCCGACCAAATCAAACCAGATTCAAACAGATCAAATCCAACCAAATCATACTTTCATAGTTATAAAATAAATAGAGGTCAAATATTTTCAGACCGATTCAGATCATACCAGACCAAACTAGACTTAAACAGATCAAATCAACAAATTTCGGTCCAAAACATTCTTTGAAATTAGACTATCATAACATGATAGTACGATGTTATTGGCCATGTAATAAATGTTATGTAGCTTCTCTCGGCATAAGTGCATAACCAATACAAACATTTGAATTTGTGAGATATTTGGTTTTTTCAAATTTATCCTGGTTGATAAAAGGACATGTTTCTTTATTTCTTCCAAAATATTGAATCCCCCACTCCAAAGGCCCCCACGCATCGACATGACAATACTTTTGGGACGAAGTTAGTCACAGTGACTTAATCGACCCAATAATGGTAGACCTTGTACCCGTCCGCACCAGAGGTCCAACCCAGCACACAAGAGCTATAACTTTCAAACAGCCGCCGTGGGATTGTACAAGTTGTTCATCGTTAAGGTGTTCAAGTCAATTTCTATGCTAGTTCCATTGTATTCTCTTTTGGACAATATGAGTTTCAGTGAATGATGTTTCAGTTTCTCATTTATGGGTAGCTTTAGCTATTTAGTGTCGTGGAGGAGGAGTTCCATTGTTAGCCTAAAATCCCTATATATCACCGAGCAGCAAGTTCGTAACCACCAAGATAGGTAAAATTATCTGGGATTGTCTACATCATCAAGTCAAGTGCAAGTATAATGACATGCTATTGGTCGTCTACATCATTGTCTACATCTTAGGTTTCATTAATTAGTAGGTGTATCCAGAGATTGAAATTGTGGAGAGTTGAGGAAGTGATTTTTTTAAGAGTTGAGGAAGTGATCATTTTGTTGTTTTTTACTCCAGGGGACGTCTGAGGGAGGGGATTGGAGGATTTGGAGTAAACTGGGCTGAAATTCACTTTATTGAGTTTCGAACCCGAGACCTCCCATAGGGGAGAGTGAGTCGGCGACTAGCTGAGCTTGACCGCTTCCTCAAGGATTATAATAGAGCTAAAGCATAGCTACATAAGATTAATTTGTATGCTTTTGGCCATCTGGTAACATTATATTTAAATCTTATTTTACGCACTCACTTGTGTAACAATAAAAATAAATAATACACCGTATTAAGTTACTTTTATAGCTGAATTGACTCTAATTTAGCTTTAATACACCGTATCAAGGCTAGTTTAGCTAAAATTTCATTTAATTTTTCTTGATTGTAATGGTAAAATACGTGCATACGTAGTACTCCCTCCATCTCATTTTGGTTGTCTTATTTTTTTTGTCCTAAAATGAGTGTTATGTTTCCTTTTTGGTAAGAAATTTGTGACCCATATCATTTCACTTCATTCTACTCAAATCTCAACCACAACTTTTACTTATCAACTATTTTATTAATAGTTGTGTCAAATTGAAACAAAACAACCATTATGGGACGAAGGTAGTATATTTTAAACATGAATTCCTAACAATTCAACGAATTTATTGAGAATTTCATCAATTTCACCCGATAAAGTCCATTTCAATTCTACCATTAGACTTGGATTGTACTATGTTCTGAAATACTACTGCCTCTGTCCCGACATTCATATTACAGAATGATATGATAATTTAGACAATATTTAAATAAAATAATTCGAGTATATTTTGTGATAATTTTGATGAATATATAATATAATGAAATCATTAATGATAATTGTGATTATGTAAATATATTAATTTTAATATTTCATAATTAAATTGTACTTTAATAATGATAATTATTTTTTAAAATAGATACGAAAAGTTTTAGCGGGAAAGTCATCACAAAAAGGAGAAAGGATCTTTTTAGTTTGACTGTAATTTGATGGTCTGATCTGGTCTGGTCTGTTTAAGTCTGTTCTGGATTGGTCTGAGCTGATCTGATCTACTACCTCCGTCCCAGGGAGAAGTTCCCGAGTTGACTTTCACACATATTAAGGAAATAAAGTTACTGAGGGGTAAATTTAACTGTTTGGCATTGTTTCGACACTATTTGGCACTGTTTCGACACTGTTTTGCATTGTTTGACACTGTTTTGATGTAGTATAACTTTCCATTTAGGGAAATGAGAACTTTTTGTTGGGACTACCAAAAAAGGAAAGTGAGAACTTCTCCCTGGGACGGAGGGACTAATAAATGTCTAATCTCTGTGTATTTTATAACTACAGAAGTCTGATCTAATTTAGTCTGGTCAGAACTGATACAATCTGATAAGTTTAAGTCTGATCTGAGCTGGTCTGAAACAAAAAATGATCCAAAGTAAAATGTAAAAGAGTAGAGGTAGGTGTACACATGTGAATATTTTGGACCGAGTCACGGGGGGAAGCATGTAATAGCGTTGACGTGAAATACGGAGTCATAATTAGACAAAAGAAGAATTGATTCATGATTAATTAGTAATTAATTAACACGAAGTGGAATAGCCAGACTAGATTACAGACTACAAAGAGCATCGGCGGTCAATCCCGCTAACGGATTCCCCGGAATATATCACTGATTGTTTTATTTTACGGAGTATAAACTATAAATTTGCGATTGACCCAGTAGCCATTCGCTGTCCTTGACTCTTCATTGCCTATTTCTTATCGAGCAAGAATACCTTCCCCTTTTCTCTTTTCTCGTGGTTTCTTATCGATTGCGAGTAAGGGCGTCTTTGCATTCCAGTAGAAGAAGTTCTTGTGAAGTTTTATTGGTGATGTCGATGGTTTATGATTGTTCTTGTTTCTGATTAAACAGAGAGCAGAATGGCGCTAGCGAGCTTGATTGACATTGCTGACCCGGGCAAAGAGCTGCAATTGCTGTTCTCTGTGTCTGTTGGCTTCATCATGTGCAAGATAGTAAGCATTTTATGGTTTACATTTTTTTTGAATACCAATTTCTTTATTAACTGCTGAATATATGTTGATCCTACTTTTGTAACTACCAATTTCTTTATCAACTACCAATTTCTTTAATTGCTTCGAAGTTAAAAGCTGAAATTTGTGAAATGGTGAAACAAGAGGTGTTTAGGATTTTCTTGAATTATTGGGTTATTGTGTGGGGCCAACCCCAAAATCTATTGGGAATAAGGCTTGTTGTTGAATGGGGTATTGTGTGGGCTTTCTTGAGGTTAACTGCTATGCAAGATGAAAAAGTTGTTCAAGAATCTATATCTACTGACATCTTCAATGTTATCTTCCTTTTGAAGGTGTATGACTTAACAGGTGCAGTAAGTCCTTTCTTGTATAAGGGATTCATGAAACTTGATGACAAAACTAGAGTTGAATGGAAGAACCGGTAATAATGTTACGTTGTGCTGCATCTTTTAAATAAGTACTTCGTAATATCTAAATTGTTTCACCATCTAAATTGTGATTATGTTTTTCATCTGCAGTGGATTTTCTACCTTTCATGCTCTGGTTGTGGCTGTTGCATCGCTGTACCTCTTGGTTGGATCCAATCTTTTTTATGACAGTTCTCAAGAAGAATTAGTCATCAACCGAACATCATCTTTCTCAAACACCATACTAGGGGTTGTGCATTGTCTCCCCGATTATATTGCGCCTAACAAATATAGACAATTCTGATGCACTTTTAACTCCTTTCTTAATTAACTGTTGAAACACACTCTTAACTGTTATTTTATTTCTCTCATACACTTCTCCTCTATTACTCTATAATCTGTACACGAGACCTCTTTGTATTGTCTTTACTTCTAATAGTGATATTACTTGACTTTGCTATTCCTTTCATGACACAGATATCTACTGGTTATTTCCTTGTTGACTTGGCAATGGTTTGTTATTATTTCCCTGCTTTAGGCGGATTTGAATATGTAAGTATAAGCATGCACTGCTTTATTAATCTGAAGTGATTTGTTGTTTAGCTTTATGAGCTTTTGATATATATTTGGGATTTTGATGACAATATTTATTTAATTCAAATTTCAAAGAAAAACTAAAATAGGTTTGAGGACATGGTTTTGGTAGATGGTGGCGATAGTGTTCTGTTTATTTAACATTGAATGATTTAAGAAATACTCTGTGACGCTATATATTATATATGTGTGTGTGAAATTAGTCATTAAGTATAGAAAAAAATCCACTATTTTACTACATGCAGTCACTATGATAGTCACTGAAAGTTACTTTGTGACTTGGTGATATGATGAAAACTTTGTACACAATTATAGTCACTAAAAGTTACTAGGTCACATTTTGTACCTTTTTATTAGCTATGAATTATACAACTTATTCTAATTATGCTATATCTGTGCATATACACACACACACACACACACTCACGTGTGTGTGTGTGTATTTGAGGGATAAGGAATGAGACACATTTGGTTTCTTGTTTTTTCTTCTTTTAGATCTTTCACCATGGGCTCTCATTGTTATCAATTCTTCAATCCCTTTTGAGTGGGCAAGCACTGATATACATACTGATGGTTCTGTTTTCTGAGGTCACCACTCCATTTGTTAACTTGAGATGGTAAGCAATGATAGATTACAGAGTTCTGTCTTCCTTACTTTACTCATCTTGTGGCATTTGACAACTGGCTGTACATGAAGGTACCTGGACGCAGCTGGTCAGAAAAGCTCTAAACTTTACCTTTTAAATGGGGTGGCTTTGTTTTTTGGATGGCTGGTAAAACCTTGTGGCTTTGAGTTATTATTTTACTTGTTTTTTTGACAATTTTGACCTTCTTGATGATGTTTTGCATTAGATCCATTTCTTATTTGCACTTGATTACGTCTGAGGCTGCTATATTATGTTTTAACTATAAGTAACTATCTTGAAGTAGTTGGGATTGAATATGTCATGAGGTCATTAGCTGGAATCATCACTAACAGTTTGGTAGTTTTCTTGCTTTAACCCCAGGCAAATTAGTTTATTAACATATCCGATTTTCCTCCATCATTCAGACATGACTATGACAGTAAACAACTATCTGAACATATGATGATGACATTTTTTGCTACGGGTGTTTGGTTGTCTTTTGAGGTCTGGTCGGTGCTTGTTGTCCCGCTTCTGAGAAGTGCAAAGCCAAATACCAAATATCTTAAGTTAGTTTTGGTTTAATCTGTTTTGTTGGTTTTTAAAGCAGCTCAAAGTGTTATGGTTAGATCGGTTTTGCTTGGTTCAGTTTGACCTTTTTGTCGAGGCCCATTTTTATTCACGAAAAATCAGTAACTTAGTTGGTGTAAAATTACCACAGAGCAAATGCGTGTGCAATTGACGAATATAATAATCCCTTGTTCTTCATTCTCGCATTCACTTCCCTTACCCATGACTTCCAATGCCTTCAGGTAGCAAGGATACTTTTGTTCATCTACTTTTTCTACCACATGTTCACCCACTTTGATCAGGTCAGTAGCTGATCACTGCATACAACAACATCCAAGCCTTATTTCCAAAAGATTTAGCTGATCACTGCATCTTAAGTAAAATGGGTGTCTTGCATGTATTCCTAGCTTGATTGAATGAAATGATTTTCTTGTTAAAAAAGTACTTGTATACGAAATCTTGCCCTTTCCAAAACGGAAACCAGAAGGTTTTAATATAAACAATGACCTAATATTGTTGATTATTGTGTGTAGGTCAAGAAAGTGTACCCGATAGGCTTCTACACTTTGGTGCTAGTGCCTCCTGTGTTGACAGCGATGAATGTATTCTGGTTTACTAAAATTGCCAAGGGTATGGTGAAAACACTGACAAAGGCTCAACACAACAGATAACTTTTTGTCCAGTCCTCCCTTCATGGATGATACAAAAAAACGATTTGTCTTCCCACTGGGGTTTTTTGTGAATGCTAGTAGCAGAATAGTAGTTTTTGCCATGCCAAGTGGACTTTAGTTGACTGTAGAAATTTGGGGTTATAGTGTGCTGCTGTAATGATTCACATTGAACAATTTTCTAATACAAGGTAGTTTAATCCGGGTCTATCAGTGTATATGTTTCCCCTCCGGAAGAATGTTTGATGTTTGTGTACTCTTTACATGGTTCAATAGAAAGTGCTATAGTTAAGTTTGGTGCTGATGTGCTATAGTGATAGTAATTAACAAATTATAAAGAAGTTGTGACTTCATAAACTTAACATGTGGCTTGATACCAATTCAAATACAAATACAAATGCTAGCTTTCACTTGCATTCATCTTAGTCTTCAAATTGTATATTAAGTGTGCCCCATTCAACTTTGCCAAGTTGATGTTGATTGTGGAATTATAATAGTAAAAACCCAGTGTTGAGGTTTGTGAAGAGGGGAGAAAAATGAACAAAACCACAAATTCATTCTTTTACAGGGAACGTTATCAAAGGTTTTTGGGACAAACAAAAAAGAAAAGTTGGTAACTCTCTTTTCTTACTAGCGTAGGAAATGGGAGAAAGAAGAGAATAAAATACAATAAAAACTTTATTCTTCTAATCTTCTAGATTAGAACCCATGATCGAATCTTCTACCATCTTGCCAACAAAAATACCCCAAAAAAAGACTGCATATTCTTACACCATGATTAGAAATAAGAGTTGAGACAATCTCTTTCACATATTTGTCTTCTCTTAAAACAAATAATTTTAATCATGGACATATGTTACTCCCTGAGAGTTACACATATATCATGTTATCATATATATGAATATAAAATAATCAAAACTAATGCATAACCGAGAAGCTTGTAAACTTTTCGAGTCGATTTTGCATATAGCTTAAACTTGATTTAGTTTAATCTGAGTTGAGTTCGAATTGAATCAAGATAGGATCGGGTAAAAACCGAATCAATTTCAATTTAATTGTCAATTTGTTTGATTAGCACCGTACTGCTAATAGTACTTCCTTTGCTCTAAAATAATTCAAGAATTTCACATGATTCCCGCACCTTACTTTGATCATTATCTTCTATCTTCTACTAATATATATAATTAAATTATTATGTATAACATATTATTAAATTTCTTTTGATCTAAACTTTCAAAATATTAAATTTTTATACTCCCTCCGTCCCTAAATAAACTTCCAACTTTTCTTTTTCGTCCGTCCCAATTAAAACTTCCACTTTCTCTTTTTGGCCAGAATGTGTGGTTCACAACAATTCTTACACATTTCTCTCTCCTCTGCACAACTCTCCACCACACAATACTCACTATCTTAAACTGTATGCCAAACCTATTTGGAAGTTTAATAAGGGACGGAGGGAGTAATATTTATTTATATGTAATGAAATACAATTACTGCCAAACTTGTGGATTAACCAAACGTGAAAGTCCAACTAATGGAATTAAAAAAGAACTCTTGTAATTAAAAGAGAATGAAGGCCGAAATACAACACTAACCAGACCATAATTTCGATGTAATAATTTAGGGGTGTCCTCGATATGAATTTTGAAGGATTTTGATAGAGTTTAGAATTCTGTCAAAATTTAAGTATCCTTATTTGAATTTCAATGAATTACTTGTAGACTCACCTGGATCTCTAACATTCCACAACAATCCACGGTCTCTTAAAATCGTCAAAGTCATACTTGGGACACCCCTGTAATTTCATCACGTACCAACCCATAAAATAAGCAGCTCTTGGACGCGGAGGTCGAAATACCGACACTAACCACGGCTCTATAGTCCCTGCTGGCCGCCGCTTTCCCTTCAGCTGACGAGCCGTCCTCTTCTTTATTCTCCGGCAAGCAGGCATCTTCTTAGCGATGGAGTACGTTAGCCCCGAAGGTCTTCGCTTGGATGGTCGCCGTCCCCTCGAGGTTTATCTCTTTCTCTCTCGAATGCCCAAAGTGTAGCATTTTCAATTTCGGTATGCTTAAAATCCCGATACATAAACTATGCATTTATAATGATAATTTTTTTTTTCACTTGCAGATGAGGCAACTTCGTGCTGAAATAGGTGTGGTTGCCAGAGCCGACGGGTAAGCAACACTCTTACTAGCTGTATTCTATTCTGTTCTTCCACCTTTTTTGAAAATTGCAATTGTATGTTAACACTGCAGTTCTGCTGTCTTTGAAATGGGTAACACCAAAGTCATTGCTGCTGTTTATGGTCCCAGGGAGGTAAACTGCGAAAATTAACTCCAAACACTAGAAAATTAGGCCAGCTTATTGTTTATACTCCGTATATCATTTTATACTTTAGGTTAAACACAGGAGCCTAATTACAGCTTCATTCTATATATCTTTCTATGCTATTTAGGTTCAAAACAGGAGCCAGCAAATTAACGACCAAGCTTTGGTATTTAACTTTTACTATGAGTAATATATTTTCGTGGTTTCTATTTGGGTGAAGGTTTGTGATGGTTTATTCTTCAATGATCTCTTAGGTTCGTTGTGAGTATAGTATGGCTAACTTCAGCACTGGTGATCGGATGAGGAAGCCAAAGGGTGACAGGTGATTGCTCCCCCCTCCCCAGGAAATTCTAGTTGTGCTCAACGTTTGTATACATTTATAAATTGTGTGTTTACTTATTTGGTGTTTATTTGGTAAACACATCTTGTGGCCTATCTCCCTTAACTTTCATTTGCCTCCAAAACATCCGGCTTTTATACTGTTTTGATGGAATGTGTTTATTAAAGCAGCACATTCGGTGCATGTTTTGGTGAAGGGTTAAAATGAAGATAAAGAACTGTTACAATTCATCTTATAAATATTTTCATTTGGTATATTAAAACCCATTTTAGGTCAATATATGCTTAAAATGAGCTCTTTGTTTAACATTCATTTAATTTTCTGTTATCCATGACTGTCCTTTTTGATCCAATATCATGCACTGAGAAGTAATGTTTTATTTAACTTCTATTTGTGGAAGCTGCGCTGAAATTATTGGCAAATGAGAAGTATATGATCACAGAAACTTAGCTACCTTATTTCAGGATATACAGATTAGATGAACCATTTAATACTTTTTTATAAATATTGTATTGCACTTTTGTAACATCAACTATTGAACTAATAGGTAAAATATACTCCCTCCGTCCCTAATAAAACTTCCAAATAGGTTTGGCACACAGTTTAAGATAGTGGGTATTGTGTGGTGGAGAGTTGTGCAGAGGAGAGAGAAATGTGTAAGATTGTTGTGAACCACAAATTCTGGCCAAAAAGGGAAAGTGAAAGTTTTAATTGGGACGGACGAAAAAGGAAAGTTGGAAGTTTATTTAGGGACGGAGGGAGTATTAAATTTTGAGCTAGTTTCCCTATTAGGTTTATTATTTAGGGTGGAAATTATAGACCTTACCATAGTATTCGAACCAAACCAATTAATATAGATGATTTGGGACCCCCCATGAAAAAATGCCGGCGAATATAACAAATCAATGACCAAACAATCAACGACGAAACCGATGAAAAAATAAATGAATAATGGGATGATGCAGATGAAATGTGTGGTCATGAAAAGGTTTTGAAAATATAGTCCAACAATAATATAACATGAGATATTAAACCACTATATAAAATTCAGAGCTACACCTTATATAAGTTTATTTCCATCATTTGCAATGGAGTCAAATACTCACTTTTTTTGGCTTGGGAATATGATAAAATAAAGCAAAATGACTCATCAAATTATCTGCTCTTCTTTCTTATGAAGCAGCAATCAGATTGTGCTTTAGTAAATGGTTCAGACTGTGTACATCCGACCCCCCTACCCCACCGTAGGTGGGAGCCTTTGCGGTATGGGGTAATGATGGTGATGACCCCTTCTATAAGTCTAACTTTTTTGAATGACACGTTAAATCTTAACTACATTACCTAATGCCAAAAGTATGAATAGTTTCACACTTTATTATCATTTCGTGACAATATTTGCACCTGTTTTTTACATGGACATACAACAATAACAACATCCAAACCTTAACCCAAACGATTTTGGAGTCAACTAACCTGAATCAATACATGATATCGGAGAGCCAAAAAGAAAAGACAGATAAAAATATGTTTTTACATGGATGTATATCATAACTTCATAGCATATATGGGAATACACCGTCTAAATAATACATTTTCTTGTGTTCTGCAGGAGATCCACTGAGATATCTCTAGTTATTCGTCAAACAATGGAAGCTTGCATTTTGACTCATCTATTGCCTCGTTCTCAGGTTCTGGTGTATTTACCATGTATTAGACCCAACACATGAGCATTGGTCTGAAATTCAGAATATAATTCAGAATATAAGAGAAAGAAAGTTTTTTTTTTGGGGGGGGGGTAATGAATCTCGAGGGGGGGATAGTCTCAAAACAAGTTTGTTTTATACATTTGAGGGGTGGGGAGAAGAGGCAGAGAGGAGAGGGAGGGGAAGACCCAAACATACTTCAATTAGAGGGATCAGAACTAATATGCGTCTTCTTGGGTTGGATGAGAGTATGGCTTTGGAGGACGCACATAAGTGTGGACGATTGATCTCTTTTCTATCTTTCCTCTCTCGTTTTCTTTTATCGTTTATCTTCTTTATATGTTCTTATGTGATTATGTGATTTTTATCTTCTAACTTTTTATCTTTTATCTTTCTTTTGTTCTTATGTTATTGTTATTGTATATTTATTTATGTTTTATCTTATCTGTTTTATCTTACTTTATCTTTTTTTGTCTGTCTTCTCTTCTTGGCACTGATATCATGGATCGATTCATGTTATCCGACCCCAAAATCTTTTGGGATTAAGGCTTGGATGTTGTTGTTGTTCTATTTATAATCTCTATAAAAATTCAGTAAATGGTAAAACACACAAGAAAATTACTTTTTTTGACGTTTTTTTTCCTTTTTCTAAATTTTTTTGATCTATCGTGCAAACATATCCTGACTGGAAAGATTTGACCTTCTCTTACGAGTTTTATTTTAAACTTACAGATTGACATTTTTGTTCAAGTTATCCAAGCAGATGGAGGTACACTTATCATTTTGCAAAAAACTGTTGGTCATTTTTATCAACCTTTTGACCAATATTTAAAATATCGCTTATAAAATTCAGACATACATAATCTTTACTGCACTACGTTTGGGGGCATGAATTTTCTTTAATGATTAGTAGTTTATTTCGAACTCTTGCAAATGTAGGTACAAGATCGGCATGCATAAATGCCGCCACGTTGGCACTTGCTGATGCTGGGATACCTATGCGTGATATTGTTACTTCATGTAGTGCTGGATATCTAAACAGTACCCCTCTTCTTGGTAAGCTAATTAACAACTCCATGCAAAACGGTTTTTAGTGTGTCTTGTGTTTACGAGTATCTTTCTGATTCTAACTTGCATCTGAACAGTTTGATATTGGAACTTGTAAATCAACAGATCTTAACTATGTAGAAGACAGTGCTGGTGGCCCTGATGTCACTGTTGGGATTCTGCCTAAGTTGGATAAAGTTACCCTTTTGCAGGTTATTTGCTAAACTAAAGCGGTGTTAAATTTTGAAACTTGTATGATCATTTCACTCGCTCTCTTACAATCTAGCTATTCATAAAATTCAAAAGAAAATAATGAGCTTTGATGGAATTATGAATTTATTATTTATGTTACCATCTTGGGATAAGTACCAAATAAACACTCCAACTAGGTGGAACATTGGCTATCAGGCTGCCGAACTGAAAAGTTCATATTCTAAACGCTTTAACAACAAAAAGCTCTACTGTTTGATATAGGAGATAAATCTGTAGACATTCTGTTTTATCGTACTTCGATTTTATTCTAAAAGAGCCACAATAACATGTGGTATAGAGGAGAGGATAAAAAGGTGAAGTATTTATTCATGGTGAAAAGAATTTAACAGAGTTAAGGAATAGTTTTGTTGTGTAAACTATAAATCATCATCATCATCGGATGTACGCAGTCTTACCCCTGTACTAAAGCACAAAGAGACTTTTTCCGGATAACCCATAGTGAAACCGCATCAAAAGTTCCATAGACCGACTACTGCTTCATAACAAAGAAGCGCAGACAGTTTAATGATCCATTTTATTTTATTTCATCATATTCTCAAGCCAAAAAATAGCGAGTCTTTGGCTCCATTGGAAATGATGGGAGGATGTAGTAATATCATTATACTCCAAAGCTTTTAAAACAATGCCTACTTTAAGGACAAAAATGTGAATATTACGAAGTAATGTAACCATACCTAAGAAACCCATGGTAATCAAGATTATTCCCAAGCTTGCCTCATTGCTGTGTTGCAATAATATGTGATTACCCGACTTGAACCTAACTAGGTAACCTCACATTCCCTTTATCACATGAACGCCACCCCACCAGAAAAAGTGAAAAGGGGAAACCTAACTTTGTCAAGTCTGCACAGTTCCTTGAAAATTGCAGGTTCTCTATAGAGTACCCTGTAAAACTGATAATTAGGGGCCTAACAATTGGTTCTTCCGGTCGTGGTTTCTACTTGGTATGGTTATTTATGAGTACCTAAGAAGATGAAGGATTGTTTTACTCTTCGGTGCAGATGGATGCCAAATTATCATTGGACACTTTCGAAAATGTGATGCAACTAGCAACAGAGGGCTGCAAAGCAGTGGCAAACTACATCCGTGAAGTAAGGCTGTCAATATTTTTTTGGCAACACTTCTAACCTATTATTTTTATCCTTTTTATTTTATCATTTTAAGTAAATTCATCCCGTTTTATATTATCGTTTTTATAAAAGCTTATTTTTTATCTTTATTTTCTTTCTTTTCCTTTTGGTGGTATTATCATGTGTCGATTCATGTTAGCCGACCTCAATATCTTTTGGGCCTAAGACTTGGATGTTGTTGTTGTAGTATGTGTTCTTGTCCTAAATAGGAGTAATTGTTGCTTAAATCACTAAATAGGTGTAGGTATATTTTTATTCCCTAAATAGGACTTTAAATGGCTTATCCTTCTATTAACTCGAGGAAAAAACTTGTATTTTGGTTTTATTGAAGGAAAATGAAGATTGAATCTAAATCGAGAAATAGCGAGTAACAAATGATAAACGGCTTCAGGGATTGGGGATACACTTGATATTTACTAGATGACTCTTGTGTGTTGGCTGAAACAATTAAAGTAGCAATAGGTTTAAAAATACACTAATGCTCCGTTGATGTATTAGCGTGTACTAGTTAAGTTAGCACTAATCTGTCGATATCACACTAAAGTACTAAACTAGTCAAAAAGCAATAATTGAAATCCACCACAATTACCCAACTATGCCTAGTTAGGCTAATTGTGTTTATTTTACGAGTTCGAGTATCATGCTCACCCATCGGCGCAACACAATAAGAATTAGTGTTTCGTACTCCACCTCGTTGTTAGAAATTTTGAACGGCAAATGAGAGGAAATAGAGAGTATGGATTGAACAAATTTTACCATGCAAACTGCTAGTTCGATTTAGCTTATGCATGTGCTTTGCTTTCTTGGCAGGTGTTATTGGAAAACACCAAACAGTTGGAATGCCGTCGAGGTGTATAGACTTTAAAAATAGAACTATATTTATGATGATTATAATCGTGGAGAAAGTGGTGTCGAGGGCCAAGGGAGGTTTTGTGCTCACAAAAATACTTGTACCTAGTGAATTCATCTGTATTGGAATTTAGATTTAAACTCCATGTTATTACATTTCTCGATCAAAGCTGTTGTTAAAATTGTTTAGCTTTTTTGATACCCATCTTTATCGGCAGATTTGCAATTTTAGTCATTTAACTAATAAATCTTTGCAAATTTGGTCCTATAAACAATAAATCTTTGCAATTCAAGGATTTTTCCACCGGAAAGTACATTTTCCTGTAGAAAAATCTGATGTCGGTGACATCTTTTCTGGTATACTATCACCGCAGAGTGTACTTTTCAGGGGGAAATACTTGGACCGCAAATATTAATTAGCTTATTAGCTATAGGACGAAATGTGCAAGTGATTAAAGTTACAGACTTACAGGACTAATAATGAAAATGACTTAAAGTTGCAAAATTTCACATCTTTACCCGGTCTAATTTGTACGAAGTATTGCTTCTTGATATCATTCATCGGTCCGTTTGATTCCCCCTAGCTTCTAAGTTGAGGGGTTTCATGTTAAAAGTAGCTTCGTGTAATCGTGTACATGCTTGTGCAGACGCTCCGTTTTGTCTATGATACCGATAAAAAAGCAATGTCCGCATTATAGATAAATAAAAAATATCTCTTTTTACTAACAGAGATATTTTTCTGTTTTCTACTTCTGTTTTTCGTTCTCCAATTTTCTATTTTTATTTTTCAGTTTTTCTATCTCTAATTTTCAGTTTCTATTTTTTAGTTTTTCATTTTCAAATTTGAAAACATGTTCATCAATTTTTTCACACAGTTCTCCAATTCCAGACTCTTGACTCCTACCTCTACCTTTACCATGATCTTGCACTCTACCCATACTCCACCACAACCCTTCATACCCACCCATACCTACTCGTAGGGGTCGGGGTAGGGAAGTTATGGGTGGGGGTGGGGTAAGGGGTACGGTCGGGGTGAGGTGGTAAGGTCTAGGGGTAGGGGGTTGGGTGGGGGTAGGTTAGGGTTGGGGTGGGGTAGTGGGTAGGGTTTGGGGTTGGGGTAAGGTAGGGGTAGGGTAGGGAGTTGGGATAGGATGGCGGTAGGGTGGGGTCGGGACCAGGGTGGGGCCGGGGTAGGGAAGGGGTAGGGTGGGGGTAGGATGGCGGTAAGGGTGGGGGTAGTAGGTAGGGTTTGGGGTTGGGGTTGGGGTAAGGTAGGGGTAGGATAGGGAGTTGGGATAGGATGGCGGTAGGGTGGGGTCGGGACCAGGGTGGGTCCGGGGTAGGGAAGGGGTAGGGGTGGGGGTTGGCGGTGGGGGTAGGATGGGGGTAGTGGGTAGGGTTTGGGGTTGGGGTAAGGTAGGGGGGTAGGGAGTTGGGATAGGATGGCGGTAGGGTGGGCCCAGGATTCGGGTGGGGCCGAGGTAGGGTAGAGTGGGGGTAGGATGACGGTGGGGTGGGGCCGAGGTAGGAGACATGTGGTAAGGGGTAAGGAAGGGGTAAGTGGTAATATACGAGGGGTGGGGGTAGGGTAGGGTGGGTCGGGGGTGGCGGTAGGGTAGGGTGGATCGAGGTGGGGTCGAGGTGGTAGGGGGGTGGCGGTAGGGTAGGGTGGATCGGGGTGGGGCCGAGGTCGGGGCATGTGGTGGGGGGTGGGGTAAGGTCATTATAGGGAAAAATGGGTACGCGGGGTGGGGGTTGGGTGAGTAGGGTAGGGGTAAGGGGTAAGGTACGAGGATGGAGGTACTGGAATGGAATCGACATCGGAGCGGGACCGGACCCATCACTAGGTGTAAGTATGCAAATTCATTGCAAAGGCACTGTAGCATCTGCGTTTCCCAAATTTGGACCCATCTCTTTTCCAAATCATTAAGGAAAAGAGAGACATGTTTCATTTTTTCCGTTTTGGAAAACGATTTGGTAAACGCGTTTTTCTTTTTTCCTTTCTCCAATTTTCCAGGAATTTCTTTGGTAAACCCGTTTCGTGTTTTCTGTTTTCCAGTTTTCCAGAAAACTGGAAAACTGGAAAATATTTCTGTTAGTAAACGGGCCCTTACTATTTGAAAATTGTTGGACAAGAATATTACCAACCTCCATATTTAGAAGTAACCATCAAATGGGAACTGTTTGTTTTCTTTTTGCTTATTATTAGCACTAGTCACTCTTTTGTTAATTAGTAGTGGTAACATTTAGATAAAAAACTCTAGATAAATTGTTTTTCCATTTTTTTATTGGGGTCACATCTTAAAAAAAAAGGAAAGAATGGTCTATGACAGTCAAAATGGGGCGTATACAAAATGTACATGGCGTTTTCAAAATGTGGAGTTATTACATTACGAAATATTGCCATAACTCACTGTTTTGCTAAAGAAAACGGCCAATAAGTTTCCCATTGTACAAGCACCGAAGCACATATTGCTGCCTAATTGTCTAAGACTAACCGCAATCCAATTCCTTCAAAAAAATTAAATTTCCCATCTTTTTATACGTATTCACTCAATCAATTCAGTTTTCACTGCAATCCAGTTCTGTCAATATATTAACCCAACAAAGTTTTCAAATTAAAATATTACTTTTATTATTATTCATTAATGTTTTTCAATTTACCTTTTTTTCGAATAATAATGATTTAAAAAGTCAAACATTCCGATGTAAAAATACATAAATTTGGTATTTAATTTTTTAAATGTTATTTCAGACTTATTTTTAGAAAAAATGGGTAAAAAATGCAAAAAATATTTACATATATACAATATTGGTGTCATTTGAAAGATAATTAAAAATTTTGATTTTTGATATATTTTTTTATAAAAGATTAAATATAATTAAAATAGTTATTGCACTTTTTAAAAAACTGATACTCCATAGGTAGTATTTAAATTTTATGTAGGCCCACTACATATTTTCATGCGATCAACCAGAAGTTCTTCTTTCTTCTCTTCCATTCGTACAGCCACATAGTCAAAGGCTCGGTGAATACGCCTCCAGATATCCCACCCCATGGGTGCCATACACCCATTTTGTTACCCCAAAATACATAGATTGCAGAAATTTTAAGGTGAAAAGCTTAAAATTGGGTTATTGACTCCTGGGTTGCAGGTAGCCTAATCACTAAATGAGGACAAATGATATTTATAATTGGATTGAATTTTTTTGGTCTGAACTAGTGTGATATTTTATTACTCCGTACAAGATTGGATTGATTAAATCTGATTTTATAACTGTCAATTTTATATTTACCTCGTTTTTTTGTACAAAAATTGTATTTTATAACTGTCAAAGTCTGGATTGATTAAGAGCCCGTTTGGAGAACTCTGTTTTCGGCTTATCAGGCTTATCAGCCAGCTTTTTCACCAAACACGTAACTTTTACTTTCGCGCGCTGAATTGTGTAATAAGCCGAAAAAGTAAGGTTGAAGTTACTTTTCTGGCTGTATGGGCTGAAGTTACTGTAGAGGACCATTTTAGCTATTTTTACATATAATTTTTTCTTTAATTTATTAATAAAATATATTTTTAAAATATTTTTTTTCTTAAATCAGCAGAATAAGCCAAAACAACCACTCCAGCCAGAATATCATAAATTTCAGCAGAATCAGCCAAAACAGCCGATTTTGGTGCTACCAAACGGGCTCTAAGTCTGATTTGGGACTTATAACAGTTCAACTAAAAGTTATAAAACCAGGTAAAATGGAGTCCTATTGCTATTTCAAAATGGAACAACCATTTTAACCAAGCCGTTGGAGATATTTTTGCTTTGGCAAATTGGCAAAACACCTGCTTTGGTTTTGTTTCAACGAACAAAGAACAAAACAGTCTTACCACAATTGCAGAATACCTATAAAAAGAAAAAAAAAGAGGAAAGGATAAAAGTGAAAATGAAGAAGATAAATAAAACGCCAGGTTACATGCTCGATCACCTCGATGAAGTGATTGCTTTCTAGGGTACAAACTATATGACACTTTAAAACATATGAACTTTAGTGACTTAATTAGAATAACAAAAGAGTTTATTCCGTCCTATGAGGTTTTTAAACTTGGATTGGTCTAAAATTTCACAAAAAGGGTTGTTAAACATGAATTTATTTAGTATTGTGGTTTAAGCTTATCTATCTATCTATCTATCTATCTATCTATCTATCTATCTATCTATCTATCTATCTATCTATCTATCTATCTATCTATCTATCTATCTATCTATCTATCTATCTATCTATCTATCTATCTATCTATCTATCTATCTATCTATCTATCTATCTATCTATCTATCTATCTATCTATCTATCTATCTATCTATCTATCTATCTATCTATCTATCTATCTATCTATCTATCTATCTATCTATCTATCTATCTATCTATCTATCTATCTATCTATCTATCTATCTATCTATCTATCTATCTATCTATCTATCTATCTATCTATCTATCTATCTATCTATCTATCTATCTATCTATCTATCTATCTATCTATCTATCTATCTATCTATCTATCTATCTATCTATCTATCTATCTGTTTGACCCTAGATTTTGATGAACTGTTTTGATGATGCCATAGTTTTTGTTTTCCCCCCTCTGTTGTAGCATTCTTATAAGTTACTTACAGTTGGCCTTTACTAAGTAAATTATCTAGATGTGTCTTGCTCTTATTGTAGTTAACAAATAAATATAACTGGAAAAACATGAAATACAATAAGGCAATATTTTATTGCCTTAAAAGGATATCATACTTATTCCCCAGTTACATTTATTTGTTAACAACTAACTGGAACACAAAATGCAATAAGGTAATAACTTTTACCTTAAATAGGATTTGTTATCCTACCAGTTATGTTGTACACAATACCTGTTAAACTCCACAAACTCTAAAAGTGACAAAAACACCAATGTAAAAACTATGTACCAAATTAAACATACTGGAATTATAAAATACAATAAGGTAAATTCTTTTTTACCTTACATGGATATTTAAATCCAACCAGTATAGTTTTTATTTGGTACATAAGTTTAATCATGTCACTTTAAAAAGAAAGTGATTAGTAAAATAAGTGACAAATTTTATTGTAAAATTTGTACCAAATAAATTGTACTGGAAAGAACAAAATGCAATAAGGTAATTTTATTACCTCAATAGGATATTTAAAAAAAAAAAAAAAATCCTACCAGTACAAAATTTATTTGGTACAAAATATTCTAAGTCACACATTTTACTACTTCACTACACAAATTGAGCAGGTTCACGCACTTTACTACATGAGTATAGTTGCAAGACAAAGCCAAGACCTAATGGCAGGTGAACAGTGAAGAAAAGGCCTAAGGTATGGGTTGACATTTCGTACGAAGCAAGTTGGCCTTCAAGCAGCACCAAAGACAATTCCTTATCCTGCTCCAACACAAGAAGACGCAAGTACAATACTTTGGACGTCGAGATTTAAATCCTCTCAACTAACGGAGGAAATTAATCTACTGGAGATGCCTATAAAAATAGGCCGAAGCATGAGTTCAAAAACAAGTCACTGAGTTCAAAGCAAGTGGTTCAGTCATTACACTACGCATATCCAGCAAAAGAGAAAGTGCTTGAACACTCTGCTTTGACTCATGCTTCACTAAGCTCTTAGACTAGATTATTCATTGTAACATTTATAGAGCTTAGGTTTTAGTTGGTGGCCAGAAATTCCTTGTAACATTTTACAAGTGGTTGTAAACACTTAGGAGAGCAGTTGTTCGGATCCTAAAGTGTGGTTAGATAGATAGAGTACCTTTTGATCCCCACTGGATCAATTGAGAAAAGTCTAAGGACTGAGTAACTTTGAGTGGTGTTATACTCATCGTGAAAAACCTTCAATCTAGGCCAGGGTTGTCAAGGCTAGATTGGCACTAATTGTATTGGGCTGAATACTTTAGTGGAAATCCATTTGAAATAGAATGGGACTGGATGTAGGAGGATTACACCACCTCTGAACCAGGATACATGGTGTGTTGATTTACTTTCATACATACAGAACACACACCAAACACATCTCACTAAAGGTTTGTAGTTTGCCAGCAGCATCCTAAGCAGCAGTCTTCATCGACTCTACTGCTTCGCCTACTGCTTAATAACTCACTCTCCTTGAGAGTGTTTTCCACTAGAAGTTGTCTTAAACTCAGAAGGTAACTCAGCAGTACACTGGTCTTCACCCTCCTGCTGAGCCCACTGCCCATCCAAACGTGTCTTTCCAAACCCCATAACAAACCAGTCTAAACATCATCTAAACTAGAAAGTTATCTCACACTAAGTATAAAGAGGTTAAAGACTTCCGCTGTGCATCTATTGATCTCTCAAAAGATTATAGATCAACTCATCTAAAGGGAAAACTTCATAAAGTTGAAAAAGATTTAAAAGTCTATTCACCCCCCCCCCCTCTAGACTTTTACCTCTATCCGGGACCATCACTATCTATCTATCTATCTATCTATCTATCTATCTATCTATCTATCTATCTATCTATCTATCTATCTATCTATCTATCTATCTATCTATCTATCTATCTATCTATCTGTCTGTCTGTCTGTCTGTCTGTCTGTCTGTCTGTCTGTCTGTCTGTCTGTCTGTCTGTCTGTCTGTCTGTCTGTCTGTCTGTCTGTCTGTCTGTCTGTCTGTCTGTCTGTCTGTCTGTCTGTCTGTCTGTCTGTCTGTCTGTCTGTCTGTCTGTCTGTCTGTCTGTCTGTCTGTCTGTCTGTCTGTCTGTCTGTCTGTCTGTCTGTCTGTCTGTCTGTCTGTCTGTCTGTCTGTCTGTCTGTCTGTCTGTCTGTCTGTCTGTCTGTCTGTCTGTCTGTCTGTCTGTCTGTCTGTCTGTCTGTCTGTCTGTCTGTCTGTCTGTCTGTCTGTCTGTCTGTCTGTCTGTCTGTCTGTCTGTCTGTCTGTCTGTCTGTCTGTCTGTCTGTCTGTCTGTCTGTCTGTCTGTCTGTCTGTCTGTCTGTCTGTCTGTCTGTCTGTCTGTCTGTCTGTCTGTCTGTCTGTCTGTCTGTCTGTCTGTCTGTCTGTCTGTCTGTCTGTCTGTCTGTCTGTCTGTCTGTCTGTCTGTCTGTCTGTCTGTCTATCTATCTATCTATCTATCTATCTATTATTATTATTATTATAATTATAATTATATTATAATAATAATAATAATAATAATATAAAAGCAAAAGAAATCTTGCTGAGGAAGTTAGCGCCAAAACTTGGAGTAAGCCGTATAGAAGAAGAGTCTAGAATATTTAATACGGAGTAGATATTTTTCTGAGATAAGGAAGAATCATTAGGGCGGAGTATTATCATTAAATTAATTTGGAAAACTCAATGGGAAGTAATATTAATACGGAGTACATCAAACAAAGTACCAACCGTAATAAAGTCGGCTGCCCCATATATACTACCGTCTGCACATATCCCATTGCAAGACCATATATAAATAATATACTCGAGGGATGGCGTATAAGCATTGAGAGAGTTGCAAGATCAAAACGTCAAACATTAAGCTAGCTAGAGCAGCAGGCCATGTATCCTCCTGATCTTACTGATTGAAGTAACAAGCATGTCTATCTTCATATTTATAGATTATTACGTACGTGTGTTTGTTCTATCAAATTTCCTTTTTTAATGTGTCTTGAATCATTGTTAAGTATGTTGTTCTCCGTGTATGTTTTCCAGGAACTCTTGGAGAGTTAGGGTCTATCTATTACGGGAGTAAATTATAATATAATACGGAGTATGAAGTATCAATAGTAAATTGATTATTGACCAGCAAGCTAAGTTCCAGCCAAGAAGCAGGCAAGCTTGGAGAAAAATAAATACTCCGTGGGAATGATATTGTTAATTTAGTTCTGTGTGTACATCAAATGAAGTATGTGATCGAGTACGTATATGTGTGTGATGAAGACGTACGTTGATGTTTTCCAAATTAGGTGAAGTAAAATGAGTTCAATACATTATCAGACTCCATATGACTTTATCTTGAAGGGGGATAACAAATTTTGCTTTACCCTGATGATAAGTACGCATCACTTCGTATTAATTAGTATGATTAGGGGCGGACCCAGAAAATTGATCTTGGGGCGGTAGTTTAAACAAAAAAAATTCTTTAGGGGGCGAAAATTATTTTTCGTATATATATACACTAAAAAAAATTTGTTGGAGGGGCGGTAGCCCCCTTGAGTCTGTATTATGGTCCGCCCCTGGATATGATGCATATGACTACTGTTTTGAAAAATATAAAAATAAAGTAAAACTGATAACATGACATTTTTTATTTAAATAATTTAAGAAGTTATAAAAAAACAGTGGTGTGGTGAAGAAATTTAAAAGACCATATTCTAATAAGAAAAATTGAACAAAGCAAATCATTTTGTCAGTCTACGGCTTCTTCAAAGACGTTTAGAAAATGTGAGATCATTAATAAGAATTCCGGGATTACTTTTTAAAGCAAATGATCCATTCCAAAATTATTGTAGCATTAAAAAATTTGTCAAACATTGACAACGGCATAAAATATGAGACTTGAACAATTACTTATCTTTTCAATTCTAATAAAATCTGCAAGCGGATTCAGGATTTCCACTAATCACGCAAGCGAGTTCAAAAACAGTCAAAACATAGCAGAATATACAAAAAACTTGATACATTAGGATTCGTGAATTTGTTTCCATAAAAAAATGCGAATTTGTAAAAAACATAATACTCCATAAAATGTAATTAATGTAAAGAAAACATCACCCAACAAAACTAAATGGAAAATGCGCTGTGTACACACCCGGTTACACACCGGTGTACACAGCACAAAAAGTGTTGGAAATATGATGATATAAAATTATTTTTATGGTCTCTTTTATGAGCCCCATGATACATATATATGTGTGTGTGTATGAAAATATATAATACGGAGAGGAAGTGGCTTATTATACATCAAAGTACAATCAAAGTACAATTTCTCTATTGGATTTGTCTCTTTTAATAATCATAATCCATAGTTGTAAATGTTGTAGAAGTGATGTATTGATATAATAAATAAATTTGTTTATGTCCTAATTTTCAAATATGGTCACTAAACGTTATATGATGAGGAATATATATTATTCATGTATCATATATGAGACTTAAGATATTATCTTATACGAACTTATTAATTCATTCGGACTATACGGAATGAGTAAAGATTAAGATCGTTCGATTGATATCTTAAGTTTTGGGGCCATTAAGTTATTAGGATTTAATGTTCAGCCGTTTTATTCCAAAGTAATAAAAACGTGCAAGCCAGCCGATTTCGGAAATTTCAAAATTGAAATTTGAACGTGTGTTGTCAGCCTGATCAAAATTGTTGGGTGATCCTAATCTATAGGATGAGTGGGCTGGTGGCTGCACACGTGTGGGATCAGCAAGTTCCTTTAGTACATGTATTATGTATTAATCTGATTTCCGGTTTAAAAATTGATAACCCACGAGCTCTCTTTCCTCCATGTATAACGTATGCATGTAAATGCACAATGATAGGACCGTTTGCATTTTAATGCTTCTCTTCCCATCACTTTTATTTTGATAACGTACATGCATGTATAAGTAATATAAGGAGATGGTATTTTGATATACGGGACCACTTCTCCAAATTAAGAAAAAAGTTTTTCTACGAGTAAGTAATACTTCGATCTGGGATGAGAGCTTTTGAATCCATAGTTTCTTCATAAAGTTATATCTATTTAACGAGTCAACGGCATATTGGGCAACGGTCGAAGGTTTCAGTCAAGGTAGCTACGAGTCTGAAACGTGGTAGGATTATCCTGGGAGCGAGCTAGCCAGACCCGTCCGAATAGCTATCGGGATACGAGGGCTATCTTTCTTCAAGGCCAGTCCGTCTCAACGGGCGATCCTGCGATAAGTTTTTCTTATCTTTTCTCTTTATTCAATTTTATTATTCTAATTATTATTATTATTTTTTATTTGTTCTTGCATTTGTTGGTTTGTCTGGTGATTTGTGTAAACTCGGGATTTTTATCTGGTTAAACTCGCATTTTAATATCATTTTTCTAACAATCTTGAAGAAAGATATTATTTCTCGAGTTTTTGAAAATCCAAAAATGGCGAACTTGGAAAATGCTGTTAACAATGAAACTGTTGGTTTAGAGCATGTTTTTGTCGCCCCTGAAAATGATAATTCTGTGTCTGTCACTAATTCACAAGGCACACCTGAATATATTGCTACGGGCTCGCACAGGGTGGATTTAACCGGGATGCCCGAAAAATTTTCTGGGCATTTTTTCAAGCGTTGGCAACAACGCATGAAAATTTGGTTAATCACCAAGGGCTTGCTTTCAGTGATTATGACGGTGTGTCCTCCGGTTGTCGAATCTGATCCCAAAAGTCTTGAACGTCATGGACTTTGGCTTGAGAGGGACGAAATTGCAAAAGGCATGATTCTCATGGGTTTATCCGACATGTTATTTGATGTCTATTGTACCCTCCATGGGACGGCCAAAGACCTTTGGGATGAGTTAGATAGAAAATATAATACTGATGACCACGGTCTTGAAAAATATATTGTTTCTAAAATTCCTACGATTTGACATGAAAGAAGGAAAATCGGTTTTAGAACAGACACAAGAATTTGAGCTTATCTTACATTCTCTTCGTGAAGCGGACATGGAATTGCCTGAAAAATTTAAAGTGATGGCGGTCATAGAAAAATTTCCCAAATCATGGGAAGATTTTGGTATGACTTTAAAACATAAAATGAAAAAGATCACTTGGAAATCTTTGATGCATTCCATTACGGTTGAGGAGGAACATAAGAAAGCGGGTTATATTGCGCCTGTTGAATTTCAACCGAAGGCTCATGTTATAACTGGGGGAAAGCAAGCACATAACTCTAAAAATAAGCAACCATCATCTTTTAAACCAATAAAGGCCAAATTAAAAATTGCAAAGAAACCAAAGGCAAACCGACCATGCTGGAACTGTGGACAGATGGGGCATTGGGCCAAATTATGTCCAAATAAAAAGGCAAAGGCTCAATCTGGGGGACCTCAAGTCAACATGGTGACTGGAGGGACTAGTTCTAATGGGTACGTTTCTATTAATCCTCAAATTTTCACTATTTATAATTCCAATGAGTGGCTAATAGATACAGGAGCGAATGTGCATGTATGTGCTGACAAATCGCTCTTTGTTTCTTATCAGCCTGCGGTTGGGAGAACAGTGATGATGGGGAACACAAGTGCTGCAAGTGTGCAAGGAATTGGAAAAGTAGAAATAAAATTCCCTTCGGGAAAAATTCTATCTTTGCATGGAGTGCATCACGTTCCCGAAATTAGAAGGAACATCGTTAGTGGTTCCATTCTAGTTAGGGAGGGTTATGAGTTGTCTTTTAAATTAAATAAAGTTGTAATTTTATTTGGTGGAATTTTTATTGGCAAAGGTTACTTGTCTGATGGACTTTTTAAAGTTATGGTTGATTATTTAGAATTAAATTATGTATCTGAGAATTGTGATTCTTCAACTTTATGGCATTATCGTTTGGGTCACGTTAATTTAGATTCTGTGAAAAGAATGATGAATTTAAATTTAATTCCTAATCACTCTATTGATAAAACTAAGAAATGTATGGTATGTGCTACTACTAAACAAGTAAGAAAACCATATCATTCAATTGATAGAAATTCAGAATTACTTGATTTAGTTCATACCGACATTTGTGAGTTTAATGGAGTGCTTACACGTGATAAGAAAAAATACTTTATCACTTTTATTGACGATTATTCTAAATACTGTTATGTGTATCTACTTAAGGGTAAAGATGAAGCTCTTGAAAAATTCTTAATTTTTAAGAATGAAATAGAGAATCAAACTGGCAAGAAAATTAAGAGGTTAAGGTTTGATAGGGGAGGAGAGTATACTTCTAATTTAGTTGTACTGGAATGCCAAAAATATGGTATAGTACATGAGGAAACACCTCCTTATTCACCACAATCAAATGGAGTAGCTGAACGGAAAAATAGAACTTTTAAAGATATGATTAATAGTTTATTAGAGAATTGTGGATTACCTAAATTTATGTGGGGGGAAGCCTTGAATACGGCATGCCATATTTTGAATAGGATTCCCATGAAGCATAAAGATAAGTGTCCATTTGAACTCTTGACAGGCAGAAAACCAAGTTTGAAATATTTTAAGGTGTGGGGCTGTCTTGCAAAAGTATTAGTCCCTGAACATAAAAGAAAGAAACTTGGGCCTAAAACTGTTGATGCTATTTTTATTGGTTATGTTGAACATTCTTATGCAATGAGATTTTTGGTTATTAAATCTGAAATTTCTGGCATAGATGTCAATACTATTGTAGAATTTCGTGATGCTACTTTCTTTGAAGATGTTTTTCCAATGAAAACGGGTGTGCCCCAAAATACTTCTTTTGAAAATCAAGAAACTACATTTAATTCAATTCCTGATCAAGTGGAAAAGATGACAAATGTGGGGGTAGAATCTGGTAGTTCTAGTCATATTGATTTTGAATCAAATGGTCTAGATGAACCGAGAAGGAGCAAACGAGCTAGAATCACTAAGGATTTTGGAAGTGATTTTATCACTTACAATATTGAGGGTGATCCAATTTCCTTTAGAGATGCAATGGCCACGTCTGAAGCCATGTATTGGAAGGATGCCATTAAAAGTGAAATGGACTCCATTGTTCAAAATGGAACATGGGAGCTTGTTGATCTTCCTCCCGGGTGTACTACTATTGGATGTAAATGGATTTTTAAAAAGAAGCTAAAACCAGATGGAACCATTGATAAATATAAGGCCAGATTAGTTGCTAAGGGTTATAAACAAAAAGAAGGTATTGATTTTTTCGATACATATGCTCCAGTTGCAAGAATGACCACAATAAGAATGCTTATAGCATTGGCCTCCGTATATGGTCTTAAAATTCATCAAATGGATGTTAAGACAGCTTTTCTTCATGGTGACCTTGAAGAAGAAATTTATATGGATCAGCCTGAGGGATTTGTGGCAAAAGGCAATGAGAGAAAAGTTTGTAAATTAGTTAAGTCTTTATATGGACTTAAGCAAGCCCCTAAGCAATGGAACGAAAAATTTGATAAAATAATTTCTTCGTTTGGATTTACTCTTATAGATGCTGATCAAAGTGTTTATTATAAATGTAAAGGTGATATAAGTATTATTTTATGCCTATATGTTGATGATATATTATTATTTGGCACTAATGATAATATTATTTTTGAGACTAAGTCATTTTTGAAAACAAAGTTTGAAATGAAGGATATGGGGGTGGCGGAAGTAATTCTTGGGCTAAAGTTGACTAGATCAACCAAAGGCATTTCTATTTCTCAGTCTCATTATATTGAAAAATTAATTGAGAAATTTGGATTTAAAAATAGTAGAATTGCCAAAACACCCTATGATCCTTCTGTAGCTTTGTATAAAAATGAAAGTGGTGTTCCTGTGTCTCAATTAAAATATTCTCAGATGATTGGTAGCTTGGGTTACTTAGCTAACTGTACTAGACCTGATATTGCATTTTCAGTGTCTAAACTTAGTCGGTACACATGCTGTCCAAACAGAATTCATTGGGAGGCTTTAGATAGAGTATTCAGATACTTGAAAGGAACTATTTCCTTGGGTTTGCATTATGGTAAATATCCTCCTGTTCTTGAAGGATATAGTGATGCAAGCTGGATAGCTAAAAACTCTGGGAGTTATGGGTGTACCGGCTATGTGTTTACGTTTGGTGGTGGGGCTGTTGCTTGGAAGTCCACTAAACAAACTGTACTCTCTCGGTCTACTTTTGAGGCTGAATTATGTGCCTTGGATACTACAAGAATTATGGCTGAATGGTTTAAGGGACTAATGTCCGAGTTACCTATTTTCAGCAAGCCAATTCCACCTATTTGTTTGCATTGTGATAGTATGAGTACAATTGCAAAAATTAGGAGTACCAAGTACAATCAAAAGACTAGGAGACACATTCAAGTTAGATTAAAAACTATAAGGAAGTTTGTGTCTCAAGGGGTGTTTGCTGTTGATTTTGTTGGATCCAAAGATAATACAGCAGACCCTTTAACAAAAGGACTTGATTTAAATCAAGTGATAAAATCAAGGTTAGATAAAATCAAGGTTAGGAATGGGACTGAAACCCAATAATTATTCATCTACGGTAGCAACCCAACCTATCTGAGTGGAGATCCCATAAAGTAGGTTCAATGAGGTATAAACAAACCGTAGAGTGAATTGAGCATCTCATGAAAATAATTGTTTTATGAGTTCTATTCCTTGATAAGCCTTAGAGATGCTAAAATTGCCAATTTAGTAAGAGTTTAAGACTCTGAATGGGATCAAGCTTTAATAGCAGAGTGTCAGCAATGCACTCTTGGAGATGCCCAACTATGAGAATGTTATTGTGTGGCCGCAATAAGAGAATGTGAGTTTATTCTCGATGACATTCTTGAGACAGGATCGGACGCACGGCCGTAAAGCGTCACCCCTATAGATCGTTGCCATCGCCGTTAGTGTGTTGCTTTTATCCCGCGCCAACACAATCAAGGTTCGAGTTCAAGAACTCTGTTCACTCAGTTCCTGTGGGGGTTAGGGGTAAGAGCTTAGAATTTGGTTCAAACCGGAAGGTACCATATTTGAAAGCACACTATGTCTTCTAGAGTTGAGTCTACAACTATGGATTTGTGGGGGATTGTTGGAAATATGATGATATAAAATTATTTTTATGGTCTCTTTTATGAGCCCCATGATACATATATATATGTGTGTGTGTGTATGAAAATATATAATACGGAGAGGAAGTGGCTTATTATACATCAAAGTACAATCAAAGTACAATTTCTCTATTGGATTTGTCTCTTTTAATAATCATAATCCATAGTTGTAAATGTTGTAGAAGTGATGTATTGATATAATAAATAAATTTGTCTATGTCCTAATTTTCAAATATGGTCACTAAACGTTATATAATGAGGAATATATATTATTCATGTATCATATATGAGACTTAAGATATTATCTTATACGAACTTATTAATTCATTCGGACTATACGGAATGAGTAAAGATTAAGATCGTTCGATTGATATCTTAAGTTTTGGGGCCATTAAGTTATTAGGATTTAATGTTCAGCCGTTTTATTCCAAAGTAATAAAAACGTGCAAGCCAGCCGATTTCGGAAATTTCAAAATTGAAATTTGAACGTGTGTTGTCAGCCTGATCAAAATTGTTGGGTGATCCTAATCTATAGGATGAGTGGGCTGGTGGCTGCACACGTGTGGGATCAGCAAGTTCCTTTAGTACATGTATTATGTATTAATCTGATTTCCGGTTTAAAAATTGATAACCCACGAGCTCTCTTTCCTCCATGTATAACGTATGCATGTAAATGCACAATGATAGGACCGTTTGCATTTTAATGCTTCTCTTCCCATCACTTTTATTTTGATAACGTACATGCATGTATAAGTAATATAAGGAGATGGTATTTTGGAATACGGGACTACTTCTCCAAATTAAGAAAAAAGTTTTTCTACGAGTAAGTAATACTTCGATCTGGGATGAGAGCTTTTGAATCCATAGTTTCTTCATAAAGTTATATCTATTTAACGAGTCAACGGCATATTGGGCAACGGTCGAAGGTTTCAGTCAAGGTAGCTACGAGTCTGAAACGTGGTAGGATTATCCTGGGAGCGAGCTAGCCAGACCCGTCTGAATAGCTATCGGGATACGGGGGCTATCTTTCTTCAAGGCCAGTCCGTCTCAACGGGCGATCCTGTGATAAGTTTTTCTTATCTTTTCTCTTTATTCAATTTTATTATTCTAATTATTATTATTTTTTATTTGTTCTTGCATTTGTTGGTTTGTCTGGTGATTTGTGTAAACTCGGGATTTTTATCTGGTTAAACTCGCATTTTAATATCATTTTTCTAACAAAAAGCCCCACCCCCTCTTTTCCATCCGTATTAACCTATCCCCTCCCTCTTTCCTTTCTTTTCTTTCTTCCTCTCCTTCTCTGCGCCCAACTTCCTCCTTCTCCCTCTTTTCCTTTCTTTTCTTTCTTCCTCTCCCTCCCTGCGCCCAACTTCCTCTTCTCCCTCTTTCCTCTTTTCTTTTTTCTTTTCTCTCCCTCCCTGCACCCAACATTCTCCAGCCCCTTTTCCTCTTCCCTTATCCCTCGTAAATAACTCCTCTCTTTACCTCCCTTTCTCCATCTTTTTTCTTTTCTTTATCTCACTTTTCTTTTTTTTTTTTTTTTTTTGCAGATCTGAATCTAAAAATAGGAGGAATCACAACTTGAATCTACTTTGCTCTCTCAAATATTATTCATGAGGTAATACTTTATTTCATATTTTTTGTGCATTTATTGTATACATGTTCCCTTTTTTATTTTGTATATCACATATGTTGTGATGATATGTTGTTATGATGTTGAATACTACTACTTATTACAGTGTTATACTAAAT